TTTTTTCATTGTTGCCCGTAGAGATTTTCACTTTGAAAAGCACGGCGAGGACCAAAATTTTAAATTCTATATAACTTCGCAAAAAACATATTTTGGTCCAATCTTTGAGTTACTACTTCAGTGATGTTTGTTGGTGTGTTCTCGAATTTCCTAGTGAATCTGGCATTGTGAAGAAAACGCCAACGTACTCCTTACTTCTCTATGGGTCGTTCCTTGAAGACACGTCAGTGTAGCTTTCTAGATTATTCAGTGCCTCGTGGTTTAAATTGTGGTCAAGTTTATGTTATTTATTTTGATATATCGAAGGCGTTTGATAAGGTGAATCATGCTTTGCTTTTACATAAATTGTCACTAAATGGGTTTTTACCAATCATCCTAATGTGGTTTGATAGCTATCTGTCTTACCGCCCATTTGTTGTGCGTGTTTTAAATAGCTTTTGAACCCCTTTTGCCCGCCACCAGGAGTACCACAGGGCTCGCATTTGGGACCTATTTTATTTATTGTTTTTATCAACGGCACTGCCACATGTGCAATGAGATCCAATGTCTTCCTATTTGATTATGAATTTTATGTTCTTCTAGAATTCGCTCGTTTGATGATTGCGGGCGTCTGCCGGGCGATGCCTTGCGTAAACTAGATTGGTGTTCGGCAACTTTGTTTTATTAATTAATCTAGATATAACTAATGTTTTGTTGTTTTGTAAAAAAAGATAAAAAGTAATTCTTCATCGGTATGCACTTGACAGGAAGACTATTTCTTGTGTATCAATGATTCATAATCTTGGAGCGTTTTTGGATAGTCCTTTTCCTTTGGCTGCAAGGGCACTAACATTTTCTGTTCTGCATTTGAAAAGTTGGGTTTAATCTTTCGCGTAACTCGAAACTTTGTCAATGTAGCATGCATTTTTTTTTTTTGCATGCATACTTTGATCATTCTCAACCCTCATCTGATGTAGGCTCGAGTTTGGTTACATAGAATGGAGTTTGCCCAGTGCATCTGATACGGCTCGAATATAATCTATTCAGCGACGTTTTGTTCTTATAGTCTATGACACATTTTGGCCGAATATACTTTTATTGTTACAAACGCCCAGTGGACAAGCTAGATCTTAAAGTACTACTCGACAGAAGGCCGTCACGTGATGTCACTTTTTTGTACAAAATAGTTCACGGGGCTATAAACTCTGATCTTTTGTGCACAGTGAACTTCAATGTACTTGCTCGCTTAAATAAGAGTGCTCTTACCTTTTACCCTCATAATCAACATACGTTATCACCTATAACCAGAAATAAGTCATATTTAAATAATTTTTGGCATACAGATTTTGATATTTTTTGCAAATATGTTAATTTTACGAGGCAGCTGAACGATATTGTATGTTTTATATATACACACAAGCATTTATGAAAGTGTTTTTTTAACAGATTTTAGAGACAGCTGTTGTTACAGACGATTGTTGTTCATGGGCTCATAATTAAAGACATGATGATGATGATGTCTTTGAACCTGATAAATACATGATTGCCTTCTTGTTGGGGTTCCTCAGGCTCTAATCTTGTCCTCACCTCCCACCCCTTTTTTTTTTAATTGTTTTTCTCTTTCTTTTCATTTTTAAGCGAAATGTGACGTGCGTTTAATAAACACCTTGGTAGTAGTACCTCGAAGGAGAACATTAAGCGTCTGTTCCTGGCGATCAAATTACCTGAAGCGTATCCTGAATGCCTGACAAAAAAGGCGTTACATCTCTGGATAAAGATCACAAGTACGAAGAAATGCTGCTGTACTTGTGCGAAAAAGAGCGCATTGCTTGGGCACTGGTCAGAAAGTAAATAGGTGTGCCCGCTGTTTCTACGCTGTAGCGGAAGCAAGAACTGCATCGTCGATCACTTTGTTTGTCCTAATGTCAGCGCCCTTCCGCGTGTGGCTCCACGATGTATTTTTACGGTAACGAGAACACTTCGTGTTTTTTGTTTTTTTAATATTTTTGTCGGATTAGGTGTATCTTGCGAAGAAGCAAGCTTGTATAGCTTCTGTGAGAAGAAAGAAAGCCAGACGTCTCAGCACGGCAGTCGAACGACCACTTCCGAATCTGCAGCGCTAATCTTCTTCTTATTTTTTCTTGACGCAGTGCTTTTGGAGAAAAGGGCAAAAACTATCACTATCTCAAAAATTCGACTCAGAATGTTTGAGCGTTGCGCGTTCGGGGTGAGAAAAAACAGGCACTCTTGAGAACAAGAAAGCAGGACGAAATAAAAAAAAAAGTCATGTCCCGAGTAAGAATAAACGCGAATCTTTGCGATTTGTCACACAGTGCACTGTGTGGCAAAACAAGGATAGCCACAGACATCATCATCTTCGTCGTCGTCGTCATCGTCGTCATCGCCATTGTCGTTGTGATCATTATCATCATCATCATCATCATCATCATCGTCATGGCGCGTCACCTATCAACTGTTCCTATACAAATAAAAGAGGGAGCAGATGCCGCATGTACTCCAACTCTTCCCGTGTCAGCGGTGTTGGCGATTTCGTAGCTTCATAGAGGCTCACGCGCCGAGGCAGTCGGTCTACACCTCGCGGTGCTTTGAATCAAAGCAGCGCTGGAAACGTCGGAGATGTGCGTCGGTGCATACGTTGGTTGGACTGCGGTAATAATCGAATTATTACGCCCCACAGTGGTAAGAGTCGACTCCGTAATGAATGTATATCCTTTCCCGCATGCATGAAAGTGGAAGCGAAGAAGAGGAATACCACAGCGCGTATCAGAGCGACGGCTTCTTTTAGGTACCGGTGCCAAAAGAGGGTTGTGGTGACTATTGATGCGTGCGCTATTCGAAAAGGTTCAACTTCCACCTTGATACGCGGCACGAATTACACTCTGCTCCACGTAGACGCCAAGGTTGACTGAGCACCCTCAGTAGAAGTTTCGGTATTTTTCCTTCTTCGAATATTTTGTCGCGATCATCGTAATATTCATTCATTTATTCATTCATTCATTTATCTATTTATTTTTTGTGCCCACGAAGAGCTGCTGTCTAGGTGATGATGCACGAACAGTGCGATTACATTGAATTGCCTTCAGGGGTGCGTGGGCCTGGGTAATATATCTTTATAGATGGGAATAGAAAACATGACGCACTAGCGAATTGCTGCGTTTTCTTCGACTGTATATTGTTAGACGCCATTTAAAATCTATAGTGGTTCAGATAGGAATTTTGTGGGTAGATGCTTCTACCACTGCGAATCTAATCTTCAGAAATATAAATACAAATGGAGCGTGCAAGTTCATCTTCTTTTTGAGTAACTTGTGCGTTTGGTTTACCCTCCAGATGAGCCCACGTGCTTTATTTTTCCCCCGACGTCAACCAATGGCGACGGGCGCTAGGCTGCCTCGTCATCCAGCGGTCTCTGAGCGTTCTCTATGTTGCACTTCGGTTGCCGTGATTCTCTTTTACATTCTTATTCTCCAAATACGCTTTACGTTCTTGGCAAACTTGATTTCCGCATAGGATGGCTGGAAACTACGTATACATAAAAACTGCTCGAAGATACCATCCTCTGATTTACGCGACGAATCAGGTTGCTTCTTAATAAAGCCCTGAGACTCAGAACAGAAGAAGGGGAAACAAAACACAAAATATCATTTTTTGTTTCTTTGTACTCAACTTCAAACACTTCCGGTAACATCAAACGCGATGGCAGCACTTCTCGGTTTGCCGATTCCGGATTCTTCGAAAGATTAAACTTTCTACGTAAAGGTAAGCGGCTGATTGACCTACTAAATTATGACCATCCGCATTTGGTCGTAGAGATTACTAGCGAGAAATTATGATCAAGTTCAGCTTAAATTGACAAGTGTAGTTAGAAAGCACGCACCGCAGCCAATGCAGAACCCAGGGATCCTGGGTTCAATCCCCACCCCTGCCCGTTTCGATCTGAATGAACATCATACCGGCGTGCGGTCGTGTATCACTACTTCGTTGTGCACGTTAAAGTTCCAGGATAGCGGTCGTACTGCACTGTCTAAATTGCTCATCTACAGGGAGTGACTCGTCAAAGCTTTGAAATGGCTGACCACTAAACGCTTATAAACATCCACACAACCCCAAATATTTAGAACTCCAAAGAAAAGAAGCTGGACATATCTCCCCCTGTAGTTCGATCTCCTCATAAGCGCGACAATGTTTTCAAATTCAGCACCAACTTGGCCAACAGTCATTATTGATTTAAGCTCTTGGCTGGTGCTTGATTTGTATATCGATTCCATCAATCCCGACGCCGAGAAGAACATCCAAGAAACTCTATTCGCAGCTCTCTCTCTCTTTCTCTCAGACTAACCTTTTCCTTTGCTTTTGGGCTGTGAAACCCAAGTGCTTTCAGTTTCAAGGCGTCAGCGCAACATTCTCGAAAATCCCTCAGAGGCTGCGCCCCTAACACAACGCAAATTGTGCGAACATTTTGTATGGTCCTCCCTGTTCTCGAAAATTGTACATGACCGCTGCGTCAGAATTCGCCTGGAGCTCGTGTTCTCACTGATTTGACACGAATTTAAATCTTAAGCTGACGCATCACTCGTGTCCAATCGCTGCCCCCCCCCCCACGTTTGACTCTTTTAGGTGACGGAGAAATTTCGCCTCTACGTTCTCCCTATTTAAGAGGTGTTGAACTTAAGAAAGCGAGAGAAAGGGAGAGGGAAGCCCACCGTTCTTTGTAAGGGTCGGTTCTATACAGTCATTTTGCAGAATGCCTTTTGGAGAAAAGAAGAAAGCGATAGAAATAGCCGTTGTCTCCATTGTCTTTTACAGTCGGTTCTATACAGCCATTTCCTAGAATTTTTTTGGCGTAGAAAAGAAAGTGAAAAAAAGCGAAAGGTAAGTCGTTGCCTCGGTCGTTTGCTAGATTCGGTTTTAAGCAGCCATTTCCCAGAATTCTTTTAGGAGCCGCGCAAGGAGAAGCACGTTTTGCAAAAGTAACGCACTATGTATCTCCGCGCACTCACCCGGAAATATCCTCATGTATCCCACTTCGCTGCCGAAGTATTGCCACAGCAGATCGGGGTCCTTCCCGGCATTCTGTCGGAAGGCCTCGTCCAAGGCCTGAAACCACTTGAGCCCGTTCAGAACCTCGGCGTCTGCAAGGACAGCATTGGGATCAGGGTCCAAACAAGATACACGACACAACACACAATAAATCGCACGCATGTCATCCCACGAATTGTAAAATATAGCTTATCCTGTGCCTGGAGATTCATCTCGTGTTGTTCCATTTCTTTTTATTTTATAACACAAACTTTATGACAAAAAAGTAAAGTTTCAGCATACAGTTCATGAGGTGAATTTTTTTTATTTTTTTTTTGCTAACGTTTAAAAGCTGTTGATAAGGTTATGCATCCGAGATGGGTATTAGAGCGTTTAAAACCAATAAAAGCAAGATCAAAAGTTGAAAAACCACTGGTGAGATGACCTAAAATTGAAAACTGGATAAGAACTGCTCGCAAAAAATATTCAAAATGTAAAAAAAAAAAAGAGACACCAGCCGCCGATCATTTTCGAAATTACTACACGCATAGTCAGGGTGAAAGTGCGTGCTGGATCGCGCACTCTGCTGGCGGAGAACATTATGAAGGGATCATTTGACCGCTTCGCCAGATTGGTGCTCCGTATAAAATGTAAATAAAATAAAAACGACACAAATATTGTGTGTATTGTTTCCTTGCTTTTTAAAAACACTTACTAATAATAATAAAAGAAGCTTATTGAGAACTTTCAAAGAAAAATACGATACCTTTCAAGGCCCTCCCGCAATTGCAAACTATGTTTATTAAAAAAAAGGGGGAATTGAAATTATGTTTATTCTCACTTTATATGTTTATTGAACTCACCCAATCGACATAGTTACCTTAACCTAATAATTTGAAGCTTAACTCCGCACTCAATACCGTAAACACAATGATGGAACTCAAGCGCGTGCAATGACTTCAGTCGAAGCTTCCGCTCACAGGAGGTCTCGGCGAGCACGCACCTTCTTCGTAGATCTCCAGCAGGACGTGGGCCCCCGAGTAGGACTCGTTCACGTAGCGGTGGAACTTGTCGCTGTAGCGAAGCGAGCCGTCGCTTTCCGTGAGGTCCTGGAGCATGACGGTGCCCAGTTCCTCCCGCTGCGTGGAAAACACGCGCACAGCGTTGGTCAGAACCACCCGTGGGTGCATGCTTCTGAATACTCGCGTCTGAACAATCCATGAAGCCCACCGAAGTCCTGCTAGTGTTTTTAAAGCAGCGCTCACGAATCTAATATATCAACCATAAGACAACCTTCATGACACTGCCTGATGCGGCTTTCCTCCTTGTATGATGTGGTCCTGTTGGATTTGTCACACAAAAACTTTCTGGAACATGTTCAAGACACACACTCACACACACGCACACACACATGAACACACACACACACATATATATATATATATATATTATATAGCTTCCTGACGATGGCCGGACTCCGGCCGAAACGTCGAAGATGAAATCGTCCGTTGTTGCTGTTTTCACCAAGGGTTCTTTTCGTCTTATATATATATATATATATATATATATATATATATATATATATATATGTGTGTGACGCAAACTTGCTCGAGGCGTGTCCTCGGGTAATCCTATCATCAGGTCTACGGCGAACCTCTTGTCTTGTATGATGTCTTAGCAACGCGACCGAGGCCTTATGGGACATCTAAGCGAAGTTTCTGATCGCTTTTGACGTGGCCCAAAGTTTTCTTCTTTTTCTTTAATCTGAAGAAGTGACAGAGGAGCTTAGTTTTAGTCTAACACAATTTTTAATTTTCGTCACTGGTCAACTATTTATCGGCACATTTTTTTTTTTTTTTTTATATCGAAACATAAAGTACGGAAGATAGGCATATTGCAAGGCTGTGCAAAGTTAAAGGCACTGAGTGGTCTGTTCCGACTCCTGAAACGTCGATCACTCTTGCTTCCATTATTTTTTAAACCTTTGTTCACAGTTTTTGTTTAGGAAAGGTTGCTGACACGTGCTGTTAAAACTGCCTAAATCAGCTAAAAAAAAAAAAAGAAGCAGTAACGCGAAAACAGTGCGTACCATTCTGAGAAAGATCTTGAAAACGCTCAGCTCTCGTCTACCCTTTTCAAAAACAAGCCGACCACGCGAAGGTTTAAAGCAACAGTGTGTCGAAAGGCGGCTCCAAAAACGAGTTTCGCGGAAAGTGAATAAAACAACTCTCCCTTTAAAAATTATGTGCCTTAAATAAGTTACATATACGAAGAAAAAAATATTCGTTCCCTTATCGTTTTCGAAAAGTGCAGAAGGTAAGCAAAAGAGGCGAAAGGTTGAAACGTAATATATCTCTATATATTATATATATAGTATGCTCGTTCGCATCAGTGTACCCATCGATTCATCCACCTTACGTACAATATGTATAATCGCGTGCCGAGTTTTGACTCTTGTGCAGGAAACGGCTCGGAAGAAAGCTAGAAACAGCGAACGATCGAGAGCACCGGGACAAAAAGAGGAACTATGAGCGATCGCCGCCGTGCCCGGGGGGCATGGCATCTAAGCTCGGCAACTCCTTTGAATGATAATCTCAAGATGCACTCGATTTGTCCCCACACCGCGCTCGCTTCGCACGGGCGGGAGCGCGTTCGGAAATTTTCGAAGTACCGCATATGCCGCCCGACAGCCACCGCTTTATTTTCTCCTGTTTTTTGTCTCCATTATTCATAACGTTTTTTTCTTCTGTGGTTATTACATTTCCGTAATTTAGCTCCGCTCTCGAACCTTTTCTCGTTCTGGTTTTCTGGTTTTTGTATGTCACGTTTTGGGTAGTTCTACTTTTAACCTTTTTTTTTTCTTCTTCTCAATTTCGTTTCACTTTTTATTTTGTCGTGTGTTCTGAGCTCTCGTCGTTTCTGGTTTCATTAATCAGCCCCGGAAGAGTCCCTCCTCTTTCGTGCTCTTTGTAGCGTCGTAGCGGGCGCTGTGGCTCTGCAGCCGAGCGATACGGCTTCGCTGCCGATACCGGGAGGCAAAAGCTGCCGTGATGAATGAAGGAGGCCGCTACCTTTCGGCGCCGCATTGCGTGGTGTTATGCCGTAAGCGGGCGATTGAACGACAAAGAAAACGCCTAGAATTCACGTAAGAAGTCGATCTTTTCCCAAAGCTCAAATTGGGCTTTGTAGCCTCTTTATGGGCGGATGTGGTGAGTATTGATTGCAGTGGCTCAAGCCACAAGAAAAAGAAGTAAACAATCTTCGGGTAACAAATTGAGTACCATTTTTGGTGGACCACTGTTGCCAAGAAGAACTCCCACGTTTAAGCAGTAGGCACGCTTAAAGCAGGCGCAGCTTAGTTATGACGTGTCATTGATGGCAGCCTATAAATTATTAACGTACATTTAGGGCCCTTATCGCTTCTATGATTAAAAACTTTCTTGGTGAGAAATAAAGAAAAATGTTTGCATGCCTAAGCACAATCTACAAATTGTGTTCACTTATCTAAATTCAATGGCTAGTCAAAATGTCAGTTTACAAATATCTAAGTGACTACATTGCGTTTTGAATGTGTTGTATAGAATCTCACTCTGCAATTTAGTTACTCTTTAATTTTAGGTAAAATCCTTCCATCTATTTTATCGGCAATGACCACCCAGCCTTTGTCCGAAACACAAATGGCGCTCGCTCAAGAAATGTTATTCTAGACTGCCTTTGGACTTTATACAGGGTGTTTCAGAGAACGCAGGCCAAACAGTTCCTGCGAAAACTACTCATCGCAACGAAAAAAGGCTTGCGGCGTTGTGGTCCTGGGCCAGGGGCTCATTTAAGAAAATTCTTAAAGTCCGGGATAATTAACTTGTTAATTATTTTTGCCTAATTAACGTTTTTAACATTGTGTTTAAGGGCATGGTTTAAATTAGAAAATTGCTCAGCATCATCGAAAACCACTAAGCCAACAAATTGCAGAACGATAGAAGGCACGCGAAGCATTTTACGGCTTTCTGAAAAACCGCACAAATTCGACGGGTTTTTAAGTTTCGGTTTGTTGTCGGAGCGCATCTCGGCCCCGGCAGCACCGCGCCCCGTGGAGAGATAGTGCAACCAGACTTTGCTGCGTCGCGCGATGACAGCGCACTCAGATGTTGGTTGCACTATCTCTTCGCGGGGCGCGGTGCCGTCGGGGCGGAGATACGCTCCGATAACAAACCGAAACTTTAACTCCCGTCGAATTTGTGCGGTTTTTCAGGAAGCCGTAAAATGCTTCGCGTGCCTTCTATCGTTCTGCAATTTGTTGGCTCAGTGGTTTTGGATGATGCTGAGCAATTTTCTAATTAAAACCATGTCCTTAAACACAATATTTAAAAAAGTTAATTACGCAAAAGTAATTAACAACTTAATTATACCAAACTTTAATAATTTTCCTAAATGGGCCCCTGGCCCAGGACGAAAACGCCACAAGCCTTTTTTCGTTGCGATGAGTAGTTTTCGCAGGAGCGATTTGGCCTGCGTTCTCTGAAACACTTTGTATATATCTCTACAGTATGTTCTTTTTAATATTTACAGATTTGTTTATAAGAAGCTGTAAAAACTACACTTATGCGGATTCTTCAGGTGAGTTATACGGCCAGGGGGACATAGTATATGGGGCTAATCATAATGATCAGTCGGCTAATTGAGTAAAGATTGTTAACTAACTTTTTGATTAATGAAAATGGACATATGGTTTCTATTTGAAACTTGCTGAGCATTATCGAAAACCACTAAGTCAGTCATTTTCAGAATGGCCTTCAGTGCGTAAGAAGTGTAGTAGTGCACTAAAGGTACTACTTGTGGAACAAGTACATAAATAAGAGACAAAAAAAAAAATTGCGCGGGCGCCTTACCGAAAGCGATAGCCTTGTACCTGCTCCGCGAGTTGTAACTTTAGTGCACTACTACGCTTCTCACGCGCAGGAAGACATTCTGAAAATGAATGATTTATCGGTTTTCAATAACGCTCAGTTGAAGCCATATGTCTATTTTCATTAATTAAAAAGTTAGTTAACAAACTTTACTTAATTAGCTAACTGATAATTACGATTAGCCTCCCATTTTATGTCCCCTGGCAGTATAACTCGCCTGCACAGACCGTATAAATGCAGCTTTCACAACTTCTTTGAAACAAACCTCTAAAGCTTAAAAAAACACCCTGGATATAAACAGTAACACGACCTGGAAGTTTTGAAACATGAAAGAGGACCTATTTGTTCGTCCGTACACTGTTAAGTAAACAAACCAGCTCGTTCCTTCAGTAGTTTTGTAAGATCTGTTTTTTTATTTGTAAATGTTTATAAAAAATTATTCGTTCGTTCTTATAGTCTGAGCGTGTTGACAACATAACAAATTTAATGGTACTCTCATAGTCACATGCTGTTCAAAAGTTCTGTTTTGTTTCTCGCACTTTCCGCTTATCTGCTACGAAACGATTTCTTCGCGAAATGTAGGTAAGATTCAGTCACAAGCATAAAAGTTTGCGCCTTAAAAAAAAAAAAGAAATATATATATTGAAGTGGAACAACGTTCCTGTTAGACGGTAAATAGTCATTCACTGCACAATTAAAATGAACGCAGACACCATTTGTTTTCTCACGACTTGTGAGACGTGGCTCGGAAGCGTCGCTTACCGTGAGATCGGCGACAAATTTGTGCTTGACCACAGCTTCCTCCGCTTTTTTCACCAGGCGCTGCGTTCAGGAGAGGCGCGAAAAAAATAAAATTAAAAATAAAGGTCATCCCGATTTTCCAAGGCATAATCGTGTTGATACCATGCGCAACACATGTCGAGGAACAGCGTTACGTGTTCAGTAGACACCGAGGATAATAAGCACGCATTTCTGTTTTTTCTTTCTGGTACGTAGAGCAACACTATACAATTAGAAACGTCTATATTTTTAAGTAGAACTGGACAATGTGTATAATCTCAGGGGAGTCTGTGTTTTATTTGAACCCCAATAAAAGTTCTTCGGAAGTGACCTCGAAGCCGCGCGGTTACACTCGCTGTACATCGTACAAAAGACTATCCGCAAACATAGGTTCGAAGCAAACTGCTCCGAGTGTACTTGTGGCCTGTCCGCAGATAGTTTTCCCGTCATGTCCGATGCAAACATTGTGTCTGTGGTGTACGAGCAGTGAATGTGAGTGCGCGGCTCAAATCCGCCTGGCTTTCATCGCGACATTACCCGTAGGTGTTATGTACAAAACACCTTCGAAGCAGTGTTGAAATTAGAGAATTTTCCCTTTACGAGCAGAAAATTAACGGACGTTTATCAGACAGCTCTTTTTTTTTAATGCCGACTAACCTTCCAATGTCGGAACGCGCACGCACACAAACAGTATTGACTCCGGTATGCATTTAAATGATGTGGAAACTTACGTGTCCTTTCTTATAGATAGATAGATAGATAGTTTATTTAGTGTCGGTCAACAGCCGTAAGGCCTACAGGACAGTACACTTTGTCATGTTTCGCACAGTGGCGTTAACAATAAAGAGGGTATTACATAGGACAGTGTGGTTGCCGAGGAGCACAATAGAAATCAGTCTGACGCGTCATCAAATCCTAGTTAGTTAAAAATAAAAGTGGTTGCCACGGGCACACTAAGATAAAGTCAAGTGAATATGTCATCTTGTAAAAACATTGAATTGTATGTATCTTGTAACCGAGTCATTGGACACTTTGAATGAATATCTGTATAAAATGTGTGAATACATTTACACGCCTTCCCAGATGGGACACGGAAGCACAATGATGACAACAACTCGTCGCAATCAAGAGTGCCATGCACAACGTTTCTCAAAAAGTTCATGTCATGTGCAAGCCTCCTGTCGTGAAGAGACTGGAGGCCTATGTCTGCTAATACCGAGCTATAGCTGTAAAAACGCCGACGACCAATGTGCCTATCGTATACAATAGGAATAAATTTCCGCTGTACCTCTTCGATTACATTGCTGTAGCCGAGAGAAACAGAGTTCCATATTACGGATGTGAACTCTAAACGCGGCCGGACAAGTGAACAATATAAAGAGAGAACACAATGAGGGCTTCTAAATTTTCTAGTTATCCGTGACACCGCACCAAGGCATCGGTGCGAAGTCACTTATGGGGGCATATTTTCTTTCGGTGGCGCCTATTTTTGTTTACAATGTATCCTTCGTAGTTATAAGATCTGTCTCCAGTAATGACTCTGAATGTAAGAATATTTGAATGAAAACTAACGTCGAATCTATATAAAGAATGAAAACGTTTTTTTTTTACATATGAAAATAATTGTATGAAACAAATTGAACGGGAACAATTAAAGTTATGCTTGGTTTAGGTTAAGGGCTGTATGGTGTCAGCAAATTAAATCAAACTTTAGTTGCCCATTTGGGCTTGAATTCTAAATCATTTAAGTCGTTTTTTTGTGCAGGCGTACTTTAATTTTACTTCGTGCAACTGTGTGCGAATGACTGTTATTCTTTTCTTGGTTTTGTGTTTGTACTCACACACCTTTGTAAGACACCTCTTAAGGACTGAGATTATCAATAAATAAATAAATAATTAAGTACAGTTACGTTTAATTTTCTTGGTTTCAAAACCGTTAATGTAATTTGATGGAGTCAGTTTTCAACATGTTATTTTTTTTAAGCACCATATCAAAATATCTGTCATGAAGTGACCGTCTTATTGTGAATAATGCATCAAACAAGCGCGATGCTATCAACTGATTTACTTATGTTGCTTTTAATTAAATGAATTGTATTCGTTTCACGCATCATTCAATGAAAAACCTGCGTCACAAAAATACAAATTCAAAGGTCGAGCAATGCCGGGAGAGCTGCTGCTTACCTAGTTACCTAATTAACTAGCAATTTATATGCCGTGTATTTTAAATAAGTCTAGAGGTCTTATAATTGGGTTTTTACATACGGTGCAGGATCCGTTCGAGAATGGAACTTGCGGACCTCGTTATAAATTAACTCGGCGGTTCTCGTGGGAAACTCCATGTTACTGTCCCTCGGTTTCACGAGAGAAATCAGTAAGCGCAAAGGTCCCACATCTTTTGTGCATCGCGAAAAGCTCTCGTTCAGTTCATGCGCAAATGCGACTCTGATTTATTTTCGTGCTTCTTTTATTGTCTATGAAAATTGCTACGTATGCTGCGCTAATCCAGTTGAGAGAACTAAAGCGAGGCATTATCCCCCCGTGCATAGCCGAGTGCTGAAGCGACTACATTAGGGACGATGAGAGCAGACGACGCGCTTGGCTATGGGAGAGTTTTACCACATGCTTTCGAGCCTATTTCCGTGGTTTTGTCTTTAGACCGTCAGCCGCTATAAATATCTGATTCGCTCGAGGAGGCTGGAGAGCGAACCTGCCGCCACAGCTTTCTGTTCTAGCTGCTAGGTACCGTCGGTTTCGCCGGAGTCACCAATACTCCGTTTGCCCCTCAAGCTGATAGTGTAGTGGAAGCTGCGTGCTGGCTTGACCAGTCCTACATCTACCATTCGCCACGCGATCACGCTCGCGCCCACACTCAAGAGTAGAGGGCGGGGTCAGGCGATGAAATGGACGTGGACGCTTGCCGGCGAGCACGTAGCTTCCACCACTCTGTCAGCGTAAATGTGAACAGACTACATGGTCCCACTCAGTGCAAACTGTTTCAGTAGGTTGGGTTCACCGGTCGCCTAGGAAATTGCTTTCGACGCTAAAGTTATACTTTGTTTCAGTTTAAATCCAGACGCGGCCAGCACTACGAGGAAATGAGATCAAGCAAGCAGCGTCGAAAGCGTAGCTCACTGGGCCCTTTCTGTTTATGATTGGTCAGGAGATGATGAAACCAACTAAAGGCGAAGCGCGTGAGAGCCTCTCGAGCCGGCTAAATTTGTTTTAATTTTGCTATCAAAACAGACACCGTAATACCATAAACTTACTGGGGAATTAACACCGCAGAGGGCCTATCATGAAAATACCTAATCATAGCTTTTTTTTCTTTTTGTCCTACCAACTTTTGCGTGTTTTATATTTTTTTTTTATAAAAAAAGGTGAACGTGTGTATGGGGTAAAAAGGAGGAGGTTTGGGAATAGGTTTATTTTACTGGCTACCAAGAGGCTATGCTCCTGTCGACTATTAGCAGTACGGTTTTTTTGTTAGCCATTTGGCTGATTTAAGCCACAAATAAACATCGATGAGAGTGAGTCATCGTCTCGTTCTGAATGGCTTTGTGGATTCTCTTTAAAGGTATCACTTCCCCCAAAATAAAATATAACGGCCTCCCTAATATCTCTGTTGGGGCGCCGACATTAAGATGTGGGACTATAAAGAAGCCCATTACCATTCCCCTGCCACTTCTTTCCGGAACAGATTTTGCATACTGAGCCCCTGAAGTTAAATATTTTGATTTTATGGCCACTTCTGCGAGGTGGCAAGAAAATGCATTCTGAGGTTAAAAAAAATAACCTCTTGAACCTAGACGTATGCTTAGAGCTCCGTCGATGCCTAATAAAATAATGACAACATCAGAAGATTGTTGTGCTATGGACAATAAGCAAAAAATATAAACACGAGCTTGGAGTCGTTTTAAGCGCGGCGTAATTTTATCAATAATTTTATGACAATCGCCCACGGAAATGATCAGTTCAGTGACATTCCATATCATGTTCAATTATACTATCGTTTTTTTAAATATTTGAAACTTCACCGCATTGACATAGATTGCAAAATTGTTTACAACACACAGAATTGCGCGTTCTGGTTTGGCGCTAACCACGCAATAGCTAGTGCTTATTTTTCATTTATTTATTTTATTATGTTCATGTTTGTCATCATCACAATTTTGCAGCAATTCTACTGACAAACAACTGATTCCTGCTGATGCGAACGCCGAAAAGTCTAGTAGTTTCTAAATGCGAACTTTGAGCCATGAGGCAAACAAGTTATTATCTCTGCTATTAGCTGCGCTGGAAAACTGTTAAACTACGAAATTTCGTTTCAACTAGAATATTTCTCTCACACTTTGCTTTGATAAAGAAAAAAATAAACAACACTTTGTTTTCCATTGAATGTTTCCTCGTCCACAACCCAAGCATAACGTCTTTTGATACTTGGCGTGCCGGTACAATGACCCATAGATTCCATAGTGCGTAAATCGGATGCAGTCACCTTGAGAGCGTTTTTCTTTCGCTGCAAGTTCTTCTCCATTTCTAAGGTCATCTTGAGCAGCAACTCCGTGCCGTTCACTTCCACCAGACTGAGACTCTCTTCATTCTCGTAACTCTGAACGGAAATAAAATCGAGACACTTTCGCTTAAAAAGAGACCTCGTTGAAGGTGTCTGCAACTTGGCCGAGGCTTATTGAAGAGGAGGCGCCATGTTACTGAGATTTTAGTTGCACTTCGATAGAACCCCGGGTGGGCGAAATGAATCCTCAGTCCCCCGCTGCCCAGAGCGTGTCGGATTCTCTTTTTCGTATTGGCGCGTAAAACTCCATATTCAAGTTTTAGACCTTATTCAGGCACACAGAGAGGTTGTTCAGGGTTAGATACCCACTCGCTCTGACTCAAAGTAGTAGCGTTTGACTACGTTTGATTACGTCGAGATCCGACAAAGAAGAACTGTGCCAGCGCGATCTTATTGCAAGCAATGGTATTCGAACTAAAAGACTTCTCTTCAGAAAGTGCGTTTTACTCTCTTCTAGACATAAACTTAGCTTACTAATTTCATCTTACAGTTTCCAAGAAAACTTAATATTATTTTTAGGCAGAAATAACAAACGTAGTCGTATTTTACAAGAAAATAACGAGCGATTCGGGTGCAAATTTTAACGTCTATCGAAGAGACGAGGAATTATCGAAGAAGGAATACGAGCAAAAAGTGAATGCTTACATTTCGAAGCGTCTCGATGCCCGATATCGAAGATAACCTCGTCACCAGGGTCGTATCCAATTCGTTTGCCCATCGATAAACCCTGTTGGAACAACGTAGAAAAACAAAACAAAATATATTATCAGTTATTTTTGGCATAGGCTCGCAACGTAAGTACAGATAGCGGCCGTAAGAACTAACACATTTGGCGTGCCTTGCAAAATTAGAATTCCAAACCTATGTACATACCTGAAATTGAGCACGCCTACGTAGTTTCGCAAGAAGTTTTATGTCTATTTTTATTTAGCTAAAGTCACAGGTGGTAAAATGTTTAAAATAAAGCAAAGATGGCGGCCGTGCGTTTTCTAAGCCCAATACCGGATGCTCGTCGTTCTTCACACTGGTTCGTGAGCTTGCTCACAGCTGGTGGAACTTGTTCACATATATTTCTGAAAAGCAATAATTATCGCAATTATCTCGCTCGTCGCGACGCCTATTTTTTTTTTTTTTTTTTTAGTTTTTTGTTTACTATTTTTTTGCATTTAGTAAGTTACCGGGGAGCAAGCTCATAAACCTGTGTGCAGACGACCAAACAGGCTGGTATAAAGCAAATAAAAAATACACCGCCTTAGATTTTGCTTTTTTTTTAATTATTTCACTACCTCAGAATTGAACTCTAAAAAATAGACATAAAACTTGCGGCTAAACGTATATGTCCGCGTGCCCAATGTTAAGTATGTAAGTTTGGAATTTGAATTTCGCTAGGCGTTCCGAATGTGCTAGTATTTACTGCCACACCCTGTAAGACAAAATGGCCGAACCAATTATTTCCACCCTAATAGTGAACGACGCCACATTTCGCACCCAAAACCGCCATTCGTACACAAAAAACAACAGGAAAACTGTCTTCCGTGTTTTAAGAAACATAGGGTTCGGGTCTATCTAGTCCCGAACATTCTAATACCGCTCCACAGCCGGTGAGAATCAGGCATTATTTGACAAGAACGCCGAAGACTTAACTATGAAGCACAAAGCGTAAACATAAGCTACGCCTTGCGTTTTTTTTTTTTTAATTTTCACTGACTATAGTAAAATCAACCACCCATTAAACAATGAGGCAGCTATTTGTGACATTTCGGGAGGAGGGTAAAGGGGGAAAGAGGTTCCAGGCATTCTGGCTTTTAGGTGACATCACATTTACGACTTCTGATTGGACAAAACATAAATATAATGCAAAAAAAAACCTATAGAGACCACGTTAAACAGTTCGAGGGATTCAAAAGCCGAAGAAAATATACATTTTTTTTTAATTCTTTTACCCCAGCCTCGGGTATTTTTTGCGATATCATGGACTTCCGCTAGCATATTTGCACCCTTACTGTGTTTACACTCCCACATATGTTTTGTTTTCATTGACCCCGATATTCGTGTATTGATGCTATATGTGTTGATGCTATATGTGTTATTACGTGAGCATATGCACCAAAGGTGATACAAGCGCGCTCTAAAAATCGTCAAAGCTTCTACAAAAAAAAAAAAACCAAAAGAATCTCGGTTTTTGTAAACATTTTGGGCGGTTCATTGATCCTAGGGCTATTTTCTTTATCCATCGCGCCTTCATTTTTATCTCATTGATCCTAGGGCTATTTTCTTTATCAATCTTTGCTATCCGCAGCGGTAGAGCGGAGTGGTTTCAGGCGGTTGCAAATCTGTGGCGACAGCGTAGTGGCAGCATCTGCGCTGGCCCTTCGCAGCTCGGCGGAGAACCACGCCTGACAGGAAAACAAGCGTGACGGAAAGGCTTGCGCATAGGTTCAAGCTTTCACTTTTCTCAACCAAACGACACGCAGGGAGAGTACGCAAACGACTAGTTTGCATTTTTTTTTTAAATTTTAATTGGTGGGTTTAGTTTTTTTGCCTAAGCCGTCACGTCGAAACTGTTCGGGAAATTAAGGAGAGGGATTGTTTTCCCCCTCTTCAAACTATTTTGCAAGGAATGTCTGAAATGTTTCAGCATATCCTTCTTCGAGGTCGCACCCACTGTTCTGACACCGCTGGTCTTGGGTGCGCTTGCAAGGTCAAGTTCCCGTTTCCTCTTCCCTTGTGTGATAGAGCCTGTTTATATTGGCATTCTTGAGGCTTTAGTGTTGAAGGTCTGAGAGTCTCTTATGTCGTCGTGTTTCGCTGCCGTCGAGTTTCGCTGCCGTTGTGTTTCGCCTCCTCATTAACATATATCTCCATGCATATCTTCCTTTCGGCGGTGGCCACATTTGTTGGACTCGTTCCAACCGAGGTTTTACTCTCAGTGACAACAAACTTTAAAAAACAATATGACTTATATTTTTTTTTGTTTTTTTAAATTGGTTACATTGTTTTATCAAAGGGATATTAAAAAAGTAATCTAAAATTTAAGGCAATCAGATCGTGATTGGAGACCGCTAAAATTAATTGTGCGGGACCGCTTGCTGCAAGGAACACTGGGCATCGCAGCGGCAGCAAACGCTCGCGGGCGACGCATGTGACATGAAACCTCGCGATCTGTACCGCGGCGCCGCCAGCTGCAGCGCGTTTAGCCGCAGAACCACTGCATGTGGACGCGCATTACGAGTGGGCCATGAACGATGATCCGCTTGAGATCTCAGCAAATTCTAAGGGCCGGTTGCACCAATGTCGCTTACCTTAGCCCAAAGCGGCTCTTTTCTAAGTCAGCTTAGCGTGCTAAACCTAGCTCGGCTAAGCACGGGCTAAAATTCCGGTTGCACCAACATTAACTCGAGTTTACAGACGCGCCCCTACTTGAACCCTGGATTTGCGTAGGGAATCTAGGGACAAACAAAGCGAACTAGGAAACGTCCAGAGGGACGAATACGATTGGCGGAAAAGAATCACGTGATGTAAACAAACTCTCTGCCGTAGTAGTCGGCGCTGGCGGCTGCCTTTCGCTGTGTTTCTTCAGTGAGAAACAAATGAAACGTCTCGAAATTCAATAATTTTTACGCTGACCTTTCAGAAATGGTAGTCAAAGCTTTAAGGTAACACGAAATATCTTTACCTATGTAATTGTATGTGTTTAATATTGGATGAGAGCAAAACATGTTTAGGATGGCAGTAGTTTTTGTGCTCACAATTCCAGTTAAAGGAGCCATCGGGGGGCCCCGAATTTCACTGTACGCGAGAAGGACGCTCTACTTGCTACATCGCTAAAGACTCACGAAACATTATCGGGAATCAATAGGCAGGTAAGGTGACTACGCAAATCAGGAATCACGCCTGAGACCAATGAAGTTCAATACAGGGACGAGTTTGCCACGGCAGCTGCAAAAGTGCTTTGAAAACGTCGATATGAAGACGTCGAGAAATAAGATCGCGAGGAAGAAATATGGTCCTTGCGTCGACCGCACTCGTTGGTCTCAGAAAGGTGACGGAACTGCTCTGATCTGTACCACCGTTGAGCATCTGCTGCAGCCCCAAACGGACTTGAGTTCCACACTGTGCTGTACGAAGGTATACCTGCTCAGCCATTTTCATTCGATGTGCCCCTCCGCAGGCACAAATGTCGGCTTTCTATATGCCCCAGCGCGCAAATATTCTAAAAACGGAAGCCATGGTGAGATGAGCAGTTTGAACAGCCTTGGGTCTGCCAAACCAAAAACTCAAACCCAAGTCGTTTGGCTAGTGTATAATCGAAAGAATACACAAAAATTGCAGTTTTCCCTGTAACGTCTTTAAAATCTTCACTGAATTTATTGCAAATTATCTTCATGAGCAAAAATAATCCTTCTCCACCTGTGCGTTTTATCCTAATAACTATAACAACTAAAGTGAGAGGTGGAAGCTAGGCTGTTTGGGTTCAGGAAGTAAGCTAAAACATACACATTTGGGTAAATTTTGAGCTTTCCTAGTTTGAAGGCGAATTTGGACACACTGGAGCCTGTTGTCTCGGTCATTGAAGCTTTTGTGTTATAAACTCGCAAATATACGCAATAGGTGATGTCAAAAGGTGGCTTAACTATTCGGAAGAAAGTACTTGTTGCTGTTCTCCCTTATGCCTTTGTACATAAAGTGTCTGCCTTTATGCAAAGCACCCAGTTATTTTTATAGCGCAGCTCTTAGGCGCCCGTTTGCGGGTTGAGCGGCGTCGCCGTCGGCATATCCACGCGCGTAGCGTTATGTGACGTCACAGTTTCCCCGCTAAATTTAGCGGGGAAACTAAATTGGTGTTGAGGTCTCGTGATGTCAATTTCCTGCTAAATTTAGCGGGGAACTTAACTCGCTTTATTTAACGGGGAAATCTTCGATAAATTTAGCGGGAAGTTTAGCGAAAATTTCCCGCTAAATGAGAGCGAAGGTGGAGGGGAGGAGGGGAGGGTACGGAGGAGGAAGAGCATACCTTTCCGTTCGTACCCTCCCCTCTTCTTCCTTAAGAGCTGCGCTTTAATATCGCATTACAGCAAGTTGCAAGCCTCTTTCATGTTTTTATCTTTATATTTGTCTTCCTAACTGTTTGCCTTCATAAGTGAATTTCCAACTCACTCAAGTTACTATTTCATAAAAGCACATTTGTTGAACTAGATATATGTACCTGTAAATAAGTAAATAATTAAGGAGAATTGTTTTTGCATATTAGAGTTCATAAAAGTTACAAATGCATATATCAACAATTAAGATTCTAAGCTTCCCTCGGTGGTTTGTCCTATTGCACACCCTTGAAGTGAGTTTTATGAACTACACAATTGAAATTCTAGTCATCAGGCTATTTTCTTGATAATACTGAAGGTCTTACTTACAACACGTTGCTTGGTCATAGTCGAGACATTAAAATATAAACTAACAACACCCCTGCAACACTTATTTCAACACCGTCCTTTGTGTTTCAGATATTGCTGAGTGGCTTCATTATTTATTTTTACACAGCCCTGGTTAGCTGTGTTTCTCAGCTTTGTTCGCTTGATTTCTACCATGAGCAGCCAGCCTTGCACAAAATGCAGCTCATACAAATTCAGTATAGTCCCATTATGAAAAAGGGCAATTCAGGCTAAGCCGTTGAAGCTGAGCCTAGCCCACATTCATAAAACTAATTGCATATGTCTGTTTGCAGCTGCACCAAATATCATGAACACTTAATCAGAGTGAGATATCACTTAGTGGAACTTGAATGT